TCGGGTTTATATTTAATTTTCATTGACACACGAAGCCGAGTTTTACGTGAAATTGCTACCAAACGATACGATATTTAATATTATTTGGTTATAATTAATTAAGGTTCATTTCATATCTTCTGCAGCCACTGTGTGTTATTCATTACAAAGATGTGGAAATATAATAGAGGCTCTTGGATACAATAACAAAGCTGCGCCCAAACATGATAAAATCGGGCATTGCTTCACAAAGGGTTAATTTTCCACGAAATTCTTGAATAGAAAGATAAAAATACATTTTTACATTAATTGTCGTTCGTTATTTAAAACGCAACGCGAGTTTAATATTGAAAAGTTTGACTCTTTAACACAGACAAAAGTGTATCCTGGAAAAAAACGTGATGAACACCTTTTTTGTTTGATATTATCGTGTTGCAAATAAAAAGATATTGTTCGTTACTCACTTTGACCCTTTGTTCTCCAGTGACGTCACAACGGCAACGTTATATTTAATAAAAAAAAAAAAAAAAAAAAAAAACACGAAGGAAGAAGAGAAACTAAACCATACAGATAAATTCACAGAAATTAATAATTGTCTTCCACTTTAAAACAGGAAATTTTTATTCCTTCGTTACTTATCAAGAAATTCGTCTGTCACCAAGAGTTAAACCCCCCCCAAAAAAAAAATTGAAATTATTTACGAGTGTTAAACCCAAAAGATAAGACTATTTACACGATCCTTGGAAAGTTCTTGGAACAAGTTACGAGAGAAGAGAAATATCGGAACGCGGACGCGCAAATTTTTGCTCCAGACTCGGCTCTCGAGTCGAGAGAAGCTTCGACGACCAGATTCGTGAATCTCAGGTTTGCTTTTTCGTTTCGATAGTCGTTTCTATCTTCCCTGGCGAATTTTTCTGGCAGCAATTTTCTACTACGATCTTCTAGACGTCCCTTCCTCCCCCCTCCCCCCTCCCCATTGAACGTTCTGTCGTCGTGTATAGAGAACTGTACTCGCGCGTGAATACTTATCGATGTGCATATACCGGAAGTTTAGCTGCAACGTCCACTTCTCTGGCTCGCGCGAGTGTACGCGCGGGCAGCGTGTAAATACTTTGGTATGCGTGTGCCTACTTTGTCCGATAGTTTGATATATTGTTATGTATATATACATGTATACATGTATATATATGTATATACATGTTATATTACACTCAGGCTTGGAATTTTGGAGCACCCTTCTAAATCAATTTTCGTACACTACTGCTCACAAGTTCCCTCTGTTTGCAAATGAAATAAATCGTTTTGCACGTTTTACAAAGGAAATGTGATTATAAACTTCTAAACTTTTCTAAATAATAGTCGATCATAAAATTATTTCAGGTGTAATGTGATATTTGTATTTATCTAATATTTCTTGAGCGGAAGTGTACATTCTTTTAATTATATATATATATATATATATATACTTTCACTTTTAAATTTCACATTTACTTGAGGTTCGTTTAATTATTTCTCAGAAAAGATTCTAAAGACGCTCCAAATTTTCGAGCAACGGCGTACGCTGTATCGTATACTGTACTGTACAAGGGTACCTTGGATGACTGAAAAGAAACCAACAAATCAGCGAAAAAACGAAACGAAACACACGAAAGAAAAAACGCAGAAAAAAAAGGGAAAAAACAAAAAAAGATATATATATATATATAAAAAAAAAGCGAGAAACGCATTGAACTAATTGTCAATTACGAAAAAATGGGAATTTTACACGAGCAACTATTAATTAACGAAATTAATCGAACGACGACTAGCGTAATTATCGATGTAACACGTAATGTACGGCCTGTGCATAATTCTAAATTAGGTACAATCAAAGTAATCTCCGTAGGCCTATACACCGATATAATATATATATATTACATACACACCGATATAATATATATATATTACATACACACACGTGACACACGTTATTCAATGAGTATTCGTATATATATATATATATATACTATATATACACATGTATGTTAATCAAAGCGAGCTACGTAAGGAACAATGAACTCGACATTACGCGATTATTATCGATAACTATACGTACATGTAATTAACGTTGTATGCACGTAGCCGGGTGAAGTACTATTTTGCCTTCAGTCAGTGAATGTGTGATAGGAGAAATTGGTGCGATGGCAGCGATGTTTGCTGTGCTTTCACTCGCACACTTTTAAGAGGCGTCCTTAATCGACAGCTTCGACTCGTCGTCTAAAACTAGCGTTTTATTCGAAACGTGAGCCCGATGTGTCTCACGAATATGAGACGAAACACCAGAAAGAAAAAAAAAAATAAAAGGAAAAAGAAACTGGCACATTATCAACGTCGCCGCGCGTTTCATTCGGACACGTTTCGATCCGCGAACCTATTCACGTTGCATTCCCTCGCTCGACGACGTGAACCCCCCCCCCCCTTCCCCCCCCCCGTTACAATGATTGTAAATAACGAGATATTTTATGTACTCTATATTTATTGTATATATTATAATATATTTACAGTGTACACATGGAGTTGCTTAATTAATATAAATAACACGATACACCGACCTTATTCGTTACGACCGCTGTTCGCCGCGTGGAGAAACGGACGCATCGATGCGAACGATGACTAATCACGTTTTCAATCGCCGTCACGTGGACACGGAAGCGGAACGGAGTGATTCGTCTTCTCGGAGAAAAAACGAGGATTCGCAGCAAGTCGAAAATCGTTAGGAAGGAAGCAAGTTTCCCCCCTTGAATTTATTGTCCGAGGGTAAAAACGCAGCGTGGAATTCCGCTCGCTGACAAAGAGGGATCTTTGGACTCTTCTTCCTGCCCCTAGGCTTTTACTTTTTTCGCCGCGCGATTTTTTTTTTTTTTTTGCTCTTTTCATGGTTATATCTTCCGTGACATCGATCCCTCTATCGCGTGTCTGTTAATACGAACGTGATTGTCAATATCAATTCGTTCGACGATACTTCGATCAGCGCCGATGCGTCCGTTTATTTATGGTGTTATTCAGTGACATTATTCAGCGTCGAGCATCGAATCAGCTTGGAATAAGAACAATCGCTCTAAGTTGTACCTTGTATTTACAGAAACATCCCGTAGCATTTGTCGTCCCCGCTACTCAAGCGATTGTTAATAAACAACGGGATGCTTCAGCGCGTTGATCGAACGAGATTCAATGGTCACGTGGCGCGCGATTCGAAATAAATAATTTATACATCTAGAACCGGAGTGTGTGGGTAATTTGAATTAAAGATTTAATCGAGTACGCAACGCGTGCATTTGGTATGTCTTTTCCACGAAGTTTACTGATCCGATGGTAAAACGAATGTTCATCACAGGATACCTAATAAAAAGTTGAAATCTAAAGACCTATCGGTGTTCTGCGTATTGCATTTGTCCCGGAATCTTCCCGATTTTCACTCGCTTCGATCGAAAAGACCGATCTGATGTAACGTTTGTACGAGTATTTTATACGTTCGAAATTTTTCCAATTTTTTTTCTTTTTTATCCAATTATTTTTTTCCCCCATTCGAAGAAGCGTCATTGCATGTGTTGGCAGCGATTCTGTCACGCCGAAACTTCATTTTCCTTTTGGTATTTTGGTTCGATTATTTACACGAAAGGGTGAACGGTGCTAATTGAAGGGTGAAGTGAAGTGAAGGGAGAAATATATCAAGAAAATATTGAAGAAACTCGACGTTTTCTCGTTCGAGTGTGCTTTTGGAAGTCAAGATCGTGGACACGATATCATCTCTGCGAATATCTTTGAAAAAATAGAAAAAGTAACTGTCGAGCAATATTTTCACCAAACTGTAGAAATCGAAATTCTAAGAGGAAACTAAATTCTCGTAGAAACAGAATTAAAGAGAGCAAACAAAATTTTGAAACTACTATGAATAAAAAAAGAAAAAATTGTTCGAAGGTTATTTGCCCTGGAAGGATAGAATACCGAAAGAGATTGCAAAGTAAACGTTTTATTGGCGCAATACTGACTCTTAATGGGTCGATGGTGAATCTCAGACTCCTCTATTAGTGATTACGGCTTGGCAAACTTCGGCCGTATAAAATGAATAACGACCTCCGTATATTTCGAATACGATGCAGTAGATATAAACTTCTTAACTTAAGTAGCCAGATATATGTACCTTCCTCTTCACGTAACAAAGCAAACGTTTCTCTACATTAACTGGAAGGAGAAAAACTTCAATTGCTTGTAGCGCGTGTACGTGAAAACGTGAAACCTGAAAGGCAGTTCTCTTTAACCGATTGCGGACCATAAAGAGTGACCAAACCGTATACAATAATTCGTCGCTTTCTTTTCGAACTCGTCGATATATCACTGGATATAAATTATTGACAAGTAATAATTTTATTATTTTTCTTGCCCGCGTTATATTTAAATATACTTAAATATACTTTAAATAAACTTAAAATTGAGAAAATATTGCAATTTTGGGACAAAAAATTCTCGACGCGCGTGGCACGTCATTCCAGCGCAAGAAGGTTAATTACTTGTGCTGGCGGCTGATTGCGAACTATAACGAGTGACCAAACCGTATACAATAATTCGTCTACTTTTTGAATCCATCGGTATATCACTGGATAGAAATTACTAGGAAGTGATAAATTTATTATTTGTTTTGCCTGGGTTATATTTCAGTATACTTGAAATTAGTATATCGAAATTATTTTCTCAGTATTGGGAATGTATTTTACCTTAATGCGAATAGTAATATTTAGAAACAGAATCCCTTTGCCCTGAAAATCATATTTTTCAACACAGTTCTATCAAACGCCTTGACCACTTGCGCTGGCAAACTGATTGCGGACCATAACGAGTGACCAAACCGTATAAAATAATTCGTCGCTTTCTTTCTGAACTCGTCGATATGATATCGCCGAAATAGATAATCGAAATTATTGACAAGTAATGATACATTTGTTATTTGTTTTGCCTGTTTTGTTTTACTTAAAACTGAGAAAATATTACAACTTTGGAGCAAAAAATTCTCGACGCGCGTGGCACAATTGTTCCAGCGCAAGAGGTTAAACAATTAAATCACCGTGCAATCAGCCGCAGAACCCGGATCGATATTCGCAAGGAGATATTACATCCACGATCTCGTATAATAAACTGCAAAAGACCCGAGCTCCCTCTCAGAGAGACGGTGGTGCTCGAAAGAGCAGCCACCGAATCCGACTTTCCCCCCACGAAGAACGAAGTACTCGAAGCTCCGTTCTCTTAGCTCTTCTTCGACAGTTCCTGGAAGAAAGCCTCGATGGGGAGAGTCGGCTCGTCGGTGGGGATCTTGAAGTGCGGCGCGACTACCCTGCTCTCTGGAGACACGGCCTTGAACATACCGGGCTTGTCGTAAAGGGCAGAAGCGGAACTGGTGAGATCGGCCACGCTTTGCGACGCTTTCGCGAACAGTTCCTCGTCCTCCGATCGAATCTCGTATCTCGCGGTCGTGGTTTCCTCTCTCGTGGTGACTTTGCTCTCGCTTTGTGTCGTAGTTTCCTCCAGCTTCGTCATGGAGTACTGTTCCGCCGTGACGTTGGCCACCTTCGGTTGGCTCTCGTCCAGGCTCTTGTCGGTGCTTGTTCCGAGCTTTTCGCCTCTTTCTTCCGTGTTCGATCCCAGTGGGATCGGGAGGCTCGTGGAAGTGGCTTCCTCCCTTTCAATAGTGGGGATCTCGTTAGCGGCCACTTTCGTGGTGCCGCTGGTGGTGACCGACGAGTAGAAGCTGGTTTCTTCCGCGGCCATTTCAGTGGCATCCGTCTCTTTTCTATCCGGGTAGCTCGCGGTCGTGCTCTGCGTCGGCAGTCTGCTCTTCATCATCGGTCGTCGTCGCACCGACGACGAGAACACGTTCTCGGGCCTGGCTGTGCCGGGTTTCGTCTGTGAATCGCCGTCGTAATGACTCTGCGACCTGTGCGGTGCGTTCGTCGTCCCTGAAACTCTGCTCCTGTACACGTTACCGTTCACCGGTCTCCTCTTTGGCACGAAACGGTTGCTCCTTTCGGTCGTCGAGGAGCCATTACCGTCTTCGGCCGCCGAGTCCTGATCCTTGGCCACCGCTGGACTCGCCGAGGACGTCCTGTAATTCACCCTCGAGACGTACTTGTACCTCCCTGTCGTCTCTCGTCCCCCCTCGGCGTTTTGCAGCTGCTGCTGACTCTGTTGACTCTTGTCTCTACTGGCACCTCTCTGCCTCGTGTGCGACGACGCTGGAGTCGCGGACGGCTCGGTGCTGGGAATCTGAGCTAATCTGCTCTTGTAATCCAATCGGCTCTTGTAGTCCTTGATGCTGAAGCGCGGCCTGGTCGTGTTCCCGTACCTGATCGGCCGGATCTTGTGCGATCTGCTGGTCGATGAGCTTAACGACGGCGCCTGCGTGCTCGACGTGGTCATTGGTGCGGTCGTTGTGACGCTTGCACTCGTGCTTATGCTCGTGCTGGTAGACACCACCGCCCCTCGATCGAAGTAATTACCCTCCGTTCTCACAAACAGATCCTCCAGAGGGATTTTCGTGGCAACTGGCGAGCCCTGCAACTGCGGATCATAGCTCTCGTTGCGTGGATCTTCCTCGGGCCTGACTCTCGTCGACTCGGTGTAATATTCCAGCGGTATGGCCTGCGTGCTGTCTTCACGATGTTCCTCCGTGTGCTCGAATTGTTGATTAGGCTGACTGGTCGCGAAACGAGCGTTGTACTCGTCGTAGGGTTGAACAGACTCGGTCGGACTCCTGTACGTGTTCACAGGTGTGTGAACGATCTCCGTGACGATCTCAGCATCGAAAGGCTCGCCCGGGTTCACTCTGTTCCTGTGGCCCGGTCGTTTCCTGATGTTAGCTTTCTTCTCGGTCACCGTAATGTCATCGTAGCTCGCTGTCTCCGTAGGCTTGATCCGTTTCCTCTTTGCAGCCTCCACTTGGTGCACCGCGTCTTCCTGTTTCTCGTACTTTAGGTAGTCGTCCGTCGCTGGCACGGTGACAGGTTCGACGGTGGTTGTTGTTGGCCTCCTACGACGTAGCGGGGAACCTGGTCTCCGAGTTCTCGCCTTTTGCGTACTCACCGTCGCCACTGTGACAGTTTCTGGCGCGATAGTCGTCTGTATAGGCACTTCCTCCGACGCGTGCAGCGTCACCGGAACGGAGGTTTCTGGAACTTGGATCGGAGCTTCCGTTGGCGGTGGCTCATACGACGCGGTGCTCGGTTTTCGCCGTCTATATTGATCGCGCGATGGTTTCTGCGGTCTCTGAGCTCGTATGTCAGTCTGCTGTTCCCGGTAATTCACTTGCTCCTGCTGATTCTTCGAGTGATCCTGCAACTGCTGGCTCTGGCTGGTGGGTCGCTCCGAGAACACGTAATCCGGTTGGGTCACCTACAATGAAATTTCGTTTCAACAAGCTTCGCCGAGGAGTTTCGCAATCGTGGTTGAAAACGTGTTGTTTAACGCGTACTTTGGAATTCTATTCTCGTTGGGGATCTTGTCGATTCTATGAAAGATCTCCGATTAACTTCCGAGTTCTCTTACCGATTAAATTAAATTTAATTTCACAGAGCTCAGCATGCAAATCTTTTAATAGACACTAAATCAGGAATGAATGTCAAAAGTTTATGCTTTCCAACTACTAGAAAAAGGAGAAAAGAAATCAAACTTGTCGAAAAAGAGCTGCAAATACGAATTTTTCACTCGTTCACGTTCCGCGTCGGTGTGAAATTATTTTCGAAAGTTTCTCGCGTCCTAAGAGTAACAAGAGAAACATGCTATGCATTCCGCGAAACTGCCTCAGCCCAAACAATACTACCCAGCCCGCGTTTCTATCTAGAATCCCCCCGTACTAAAAACCCGTAGAGGACAAACCCAGAAGTTTCCAAGTCGTGGTCAAATATTTTATAAAGCCTTCGCAAAACGAACAGTACCTGAGACTGTTGAACCTTTGGCTGCTCGCCAATGCCGCTCTGCTCGGTAATCACCGCGGCTAGGTCCGTGGTAACCTTCGGTATCTCGTATCCAACCAACTGGATCGCGTAAGGCGATTGTCCCTCCGCGATTTTCGTCAATTTCTCCGTGTGATTCCTCGCTGATTCCACCGCCAGCCGCGCCTCTTCCTCCTCCTTCTGCTGCTCCAGCAACAGCCTCACCTCCTCCTGCCTCTTCTTCAACTCCTCCTGCTGCTGCCTCTCGATCTCCAACTGCTGTTGCCTCTCCTGCTCGGCCAGCCTCTGCCGGTCTCTCTGCAGCAATTGCTGCTGGATCAGGTACTGCTGCTCGTTGAAATGCTTCAGCGAGATGCTCTCCGGCGTTTCGTACTCCGGCTCGCCGCTCTCCGGCCGGACGTCGATCGGCAATACGGAGCTTTGGAACTGCGGCTGTTGCGACTGCGGCCCGATGAACACCACCTTCGGCGCTTGGGGGATCTGGTTCGACGTTATGGACTCTTGGCTGAACTTGGACGGTGGATTCACTCTCGGCAGAACCTCGTTTATGTCCGACGTCTGGTATTTGCTCTTTGGGACTGGCCAGGCGGACGGCGGCGGCGTCAGATCCTGAGCTTCCGACACGTAATAGGTGTTGGCGATGCCCGCTGTCGGCAACAGCTCGCTCTGGACTTCACCGCCTACGTCTACCTGTTGTTTGATCACTTTGTTCGCGGTTTGACTTGGCCTCTTGCGATCCTGCGCAACGTTGTCCCTGTTCTGTTGCTGGAACTTGCTCGGCTCCTGCGTGCGAGGGGTGGTAGGCGCGGGAGTGGACGACGAGTACACGTCAGGGGGGAGAAGAGTCTCGTACGGCAACGACGGCCTGAAATTGAACGGGTTGTAGATGGAAGGCGGCGTGATGTAGCTGATCTCGTGGCTCTCGTGGACAAGGAACGCGGGATCTCTCTCGAAGGACGTCTTGTACGAGTGAGAGGGATGATTCAGTTGGCTGTAAAAGTTCCCTGTGCCGGCTGGATTGATCGCGTGATCGCTGTGCTGAGCCTGGCCGGGGAATTTGTCGTAGCTCTGCCTGTGATCGTAATCCGACAGTCGTTTGTCCTTGCCGAAATCGTTGGCCAGCGCGGTGCCAGGCGGCTGGAAGTACGGTTTCGCGTTACTGGACACTTTCAGGGACTCGAACGGCTTCACCTGGTATCTCGGCGGTTGCAGCAACTGAGGAACGTACGGCTCGCCGTAGTGTCTGTTCTTCGAGGTGCTCGGCGACGATGGCGAGTTCGTGGTGGAGGTGTACCCTTTGATGAAATACGTGGCTGCTTTGATCGGGTCTGGTGATTGATGCACCGACGAAAGGCCAAACGCTGGCTGACGCAGGTACGCGGTGCTGTCTCGTAAGATCGGCTTCCGGTGTTGGTCCAGGTCGAAACGGTAGGCGTCTTTCGGCGGCGGGATCAGGAACGTGTACTCACGCGTCTCGGAGGCGACGTGTTTGCTCGCGTGACCGTGGCCGGATTGAGCCTCGCCGCGCGCTTTCGCCGCGGCGTGGCCGAGGACCGTGAAACTACCTAGTATACTCGGTGGACTGTAGTCGTGATGGGAAGATGGTTTGCCCTTTCGGTGAGGCTTCAGCTTCTCGGAGGTAGCCATGTGCTCGTGAAACTTGCCCAGAACTGGGTGCAGGGGAGCGTTCCGCTCGAGATTGCTCGACGGCGAGACGTTCGTCCCGATCGTTTCTTCGTAGCCGTTCGTCAATGGTCGCCAGCCGTTTGCGATCATGGATGATCGAGTTGGTGGCTGTAAGGTGAAGTTAGGCGTGGAATTTGGCACTCTTGGTGATCATCGGACCGCGGGAAATTTTAAGCAAATTTGCAGGATTTGTAATATAATGACAATTGTAATAAAATCTTTGGACGTTATATATTTAGTTTTTACTGGAAAAATTAAGCAATACTTTGTGCGACAAAGCACTTTTAAAAATATTAATATAGTAATCGTGTTATTTCGTGTTATCACGTTGCGTGGACTTTGAAATTTTCTACAGGTGCATAAAAATCTGCAGTTTGATCCGAGAGTTACTTTTTCTGAAAATATCAGTGGATTATTTCATCGAATAATTTTGGTTACTGAAGTTTAATTTCTGTCGATTGAAATTCTCGTTTTATGCATTACGTGGTATTTACATTAGAATTAAACCAATGCCGATAATGTTGAACCATTACGACAGATTTAATTCAATTCAAATTCAATTTTGTTCAACCAGTGCTGGCGAGAAAATAACATTAATTTTCAACACGTTATTTATTTGCAATAATAAAACAAGCATTCACCGAGTGTATTTGAACACAGTTTTTGTGTGTCGATACTACCTATTTAAATCTAAAGGTGCACGCGAGAACAGAGCTTCTTTGTGACGATCTCGATCGAGCGTATTTCATGGAGAGTAACGTATCGATTGAAGAAATTGGATAAATATTAGCTGAAACTTTACGTCATACGTCGGTAGTCAACCAAAGGGACATTTTCTACGTGACTTAACTGTGTTATGGATCGCGCGTATTAGCTTAAAACAGTTTCAAAGTTCAAGGTTTTAGAAGCTTCGACAAAAGAGAGACGCTGTTTACCTTGCCGAGTTCTCGCGCGTGAAAAAGGAAAGAGTTCCTTCCGGTTGCATTAACTGCAGCCTAGAGATCGATCCATTAACAATTTGCAAACATAAATATTTTATAAATTATCGTGCACCTTGCGAACGAAAAATAAGAATACGCTTCATAAATATCTTTTTTACGAAAGTGCGAGGTATTATTATTTTTAGACTAAACTAGAACGTTTGTTAAATTCGACGAATAATATGGATTAAACGGAAATTATCTGTTTGACGAAATGAAAGCATTTTTTGATATTTATTTGATACTTATTTTCAAAGTTGGACCGAGTTTCGAATAATTTTAAATAAACGAAACTCGTCCTGTCGCTTTCAATTTACGCAGAAAACAATGTTACTTTCCACCGACTCGACAAGAATGAAGAAAAAAAAAAAAAAAAAAAAAAGAAAGAGTTGCAGTAAATCTGTCAAATAGATTTGCTTCCTCTTCGCACTTTCTCCGTTTCGACGTAATTTAACACTGGTAAGAGTTAAACAAACCGAGGCGAGGAACACTTAATTGCGGCAATTTGATTACGTTACATCGTTGATTCTACTTACTGGTTTGTTATCGGAACGGTCTATCGATACGGTGATTGCACCGATGCAGGTAAAGAGGCCCATCGCGAGGACACCTGTGAGCATTTTACGAGAGCGCTAGTTTTGAAATAATTACAACAATCGGTTACATTAAATATCAGATGTTTCAATTCGTTATATCTTATTCGCTTAATCCGTTGCTTCGTTTCAAAAGAGCCAACTAAAAGCCAAGTGGTTACTTAAAAATGACTTGCCTGACGAAACGAAATTACGCCAGCTCGAAAACGAAAGTAAAATTTAAATTTTGAATGTCTTTATAAAAGTTAATTTGAAGTTTAAATATACGTGTACTCGAGTCATGGATTATTTCACAATGCAATTGGTGGCCTGACAATTGTTTTCAATTAATTATTTTCCACGTAAAAGACTGACATTTTGAAGTTGTAAAGCTACAGTCTTGCATGAAATAACAGTTTATTTTCTCGTCCAAGTAAATTAACTAATTATTTTAAGGGGGTATTCTGGTAATCCGGCTTGGGGATTTTTTTTTTAAGGATTTTGGTACGCAGGTTTCGTACACAGATTCATTCATACTTAAAGAGTATTTACAATTTTTTTTTTAACGAAATTAATGAAAGTTGTGGAAATTATATAGCCTTGGGTAAAGAATGTTTTTAAAAACGGGTTCGAATAGCTGACCTGATTCCGGGTTCACCTGATTAATTGAAACTAAAAACCAAAATGCATCTTAATTAGTATAAATATGACTATCACGTGAACCACTGAAACAGTAAAATTTCGAAAATTAAAAAAATTTTGGCAGCATTTTGAAGTTAAAATATCGATTTTTCTTGTGTTTTTTGTCTTTTGGGTGATTAAAAAAAAACATCGCATTTTGATTCATGCGATAAAGATGCATTCGGTGAAGATCTCCTCCAAATTTCAAGTCAATCGGTAAACTAAAACGTGAGATATCCCGTCAGCCAGTTTAAAAAATATGGATTTGAGAAAAACACGTTTGAAGTTCTTGTTACCCGTTGTAGAAAAACATTCATACTTGTAATATTATTATTTTATTTTCTAATATTATTATTATAATATTATTATAATACTATTATTTTATTTTATAATATTATTATTTATTTTTATATTATTATCACTTTATAATATTATAATATTTTATTTTTTGTACTGCTCAATTGTTCGTAGTACAAAAAATAAAAATAAATAATAATATTATAAAATAAAATAATAGGATTATAATAATATAATAATAATAATATTATGAAATACAATAATAGTATTATAATAATATTATAAAATAAAATAATAATATTATAAAATAAAATATTTTTTGAGAAAAACACATTTTGTACAAAAATATTCATACTTACGCGAGCAGTACACCGTTTCCTATAATCATCTATAACTTTAACTAATTTTACGGACTCGAACAAATCCTTCTACATAAACATTTTCGAAACGATATACTTTAAGAAAATGTAAAAAGAAAATTGATTTTTTTAAGCCGGATTTCCAGAATACCCCCTTAAAATGATATCTAGGCAAATCGGAAAATAATCCGTTCCCTACAGTCTAATCAAACTACATGTTACTTAAATACTCTTCGAACGCTTCTTTCAAATCTGTCCAAGTTTGGCCTACTTACAATTCAGGGTTAGTGTCGGCCGCATCGTGACAGACCATGGGACCATTGACACCAGCGTTCTGTAACAAAAACGTCGTTCGATCGTTAGACAAATTCGCCTGGCTCTCGAATTGCATGGCAATTTGTTGGATTACGAATGTTTAGAGATCGAAGGAATTCGCGTAACAATCGAGCCAGGCTCGGTTTACTGGAACACGAGGGCAGGAAAAGTGTAGCAGGACGCGGAGAAAGGAAGTATAGAAAGCGTCGTCTTACGCAGCTGTTTTCCGCTGCTGTTCCCTGTCATTTCATTCCTTTGGATCAAGGTAACAGTGAAACTCGCGAGAGGACGGAAGAATTTCTCTGCACGTTCACGAGGTTACCCGGTTGTCATCTGAAATTTCCAATGCTGGAGCGAGCATTCGTCCGCGCGGGAAACCGGAAATGGACGAGTTTCGAAACGATCTCGATCGACGACGATCGTCACGAGCCATTTGCCGAGGCGTTTGTTTCCCAGCGATTTGAATTTCTCGGGAATTAGTGACGCAGCAGCCATAGACGATTACTCGAAAAATATTTCCTCCGACAATACGAAATTTTTTCTTATTATTCCGGAATTATCATTGATCAAAGATTCGCGTGTCTGAAAATTAACGTTTGGTGTTTGACGTCCAATTTTTCTAATCTTCTGAAATTCCTGTTCACCTGTTTGCACGAAACAGGAAATAAACGACTTTCGTCGACGACGAGGGCACTCGTTAGCAATTCGAATTGAATTTGAAATTGACGATGATGACTCGAGTAAGAAATCGTTGGTCGAGAAAATATTTTCTCTGGCAGTTTCTGAAATTTTCTGGTTATCGTATAAGTCCGCGTGTCTCCAAATTGGACGCAGTGAATGCTAGATATTCAATTTCCTAATTTCCCTAATTTCCTGCAGTTTCTACACGATGGGGTCGGTCAGGCAAGGACAGTTAGGATAATTGGCAACTGAAATTTTCTAAAAATTGATCGAGAGGAAATCTTGATATTTTTTATGCTGCGGGCTGGAACTCGTGCAAAAATTAACTTCCGAACTTGTAACCATCGACGTGTGCCTATATTTCGGTAACCTGTATGTCGATGCAGTATCCTGGACAGGAAGCCATTGATTCGCCTAATTACTGGGATATTATACGACATGTAACATTTTCAATTTTCTTCGAATTCTCGCACGGAATAAATTTGAATAATAATTATTCCGAAGCTCGCGAGGAAGTAATCGAATCACGCGTCAAATTTACTGCGATTAAACTACCATCACCACGAAGTCACGAATGATCAGGAACATTTTGAGGGAAGTTAAGTTTCAGCTAGTTCAACAGCCAACTAGACAAGTAGTAGATTATTCCGAGTAATTTTGAATAACGACGGTTACCTGTTAGTCAACTGTTGATTTTTTTAGTAGGATGCTTTTGAAGACGACAGGTCGTCTTATATGTTGTAGCATATATTTTACATAAATCACGAGATATCACAGTGCAAAAGTTTGCAAATGTTTCATACGAAAGCTTGATATTTCTTAGAACAACAGATCGGACAGCACATGCAATAATCGATATTTTCATTTTACTTTGTTTAAAATTTTTCTACGAGATACGAGCTGTCGTAAACTGTTTGTTTCGACTGCTGGGGCACGATTTCCACGTAACGAGCTGTTAAGAACAGATTAATGGACTTATTAGCCAGCACTGTGAACGAGCGTCGTTTATTTTCACGTGGGAGTTCCAAGGGCGTGACCGCGCGACGAATAAATTAACCGGTTCGAAAAGTACGACTTTCTCTCATTAATTTTCCAGGCTTGAACTGTGACGTAAGTGCTGGTACACTTTTCATACGGCATGCGACAAGTGAAAAATGTAGAACCAGCTCCGTGCGGACGTGGCCAGTGTTAATTGAACGCATTCCGAACGAAACTATTGGCTAATACAACGTTTCGTGCGTAGGTGTATCAGTTACGTGAATTATCTTGATATTTGATCGTATTTTTTAACAATTGGTGATTACGTGATTATATGAGAATGTGTATGAATTTTGTCTGAACATTTAGAAACTGATTTGATATATTTTCTGCATTTGTGCATTTTCACAAGATGTTCGTGCATGTTATAGTTATCATATTTGAACAGATATTTCATTCTTTGAGGCAATACGAATCCCCTGTGCACTTGGTACTTGCGTTTAATTCAGCCAGAAATTAACCGCAGTAATTAAATACCGAAATATTACAAAATTTAATTTAATTTAATTTTAATCTGACTGTCGCGTTACAAAATTACAGAAATTACTAAAATTCTTTAACTGAAAGTTCCAAAATATTTAAAATCCCGACGTGACAGTTTGTCAAAGTTCCCCAGTTTGAAATTACAGAGTTACAAAATCACCAATTAACTTGATTGAAAAGTTGCGCAAAGTCCCGCTAGTTATCAGCAAATCAACGAACAAACATTGCTTCATTTCTGGCGACCGAAGGACAAAAAGAAAAAAAAGAAAAAGAAGTGGAGAAAAAACTTTGGCCGATGCTATTTCATATCAGGTGTCCCGCTCCATCCGAAAGTTACGTTTGCTCTCGAGTATTGAGTAAACAACCCGCCGCGGCCATTTACGCAATTGCGTCTCCTCCCTTCCATGCGCTTATCAACACTCGAGCTTTCTTCTTTCTCTGTTTCCTTTGTCCCTCTCTCTTTCTTTTCGTTTTCTTTTTTTCTTTCCTTTTCTTTTCTTTCCTTTTTGGAAAGATGACAGAATCGAAACGTGCATGCCGCCCGCTACGCGGTGAAAATTCGCCGCGTCGGCATTGGAAAATCAATAGTGCGAGGTGCATTTAAATTTCACGCAGATTCCCCAGTTGAATTAATTACCGGCATTAGCGTGCCCCCTCCGGAGGCTCGCTGCAACCTTCCCAGCCAACTACCCCCAGCGGTTTCCGGCGGCGCAGTTGCGCGCGCTGTTTGAATTACCCACCGAGTTTACCGGCTGTAATTGCGACCGGATCACGTCCCTCGACGGTCCACTACGTCCAATTCAAATGTCGTGGAAAGAATGTTCCTTTCGGTGAGACGTTCGGCGAATACTTAACTCGAGTGTTGAGAGTGTCGGCGGTTGTTTCGCGCAATTCGCAAACGTTTGCCCCTTTGTCTTTCGCTCTTCTCGAGCTGCGGATTATTTTCCTCGAAGGATCCAGTGAGTTAATGTTATCCGCAGAGACGAAGATAATTTTGTCTCTTGCAGAGCGGTGGAAAGTCTATTGAACACTTTTTAAAGCTCTTAAAAGCTCTTGAGAACTGTTATAAATGTACTTGTAAATGATGCATTTTATTATTTTGTCAATTTTGGATGGAACATTATGTTTCAACTTAACATGCAACATTGTGTGTGTACAATTTTGTTAAGTGGAGGATAAATTTACGTTTGAAGACACATTAATGCTTTGTTGTTGTTTTTTTTTTTTAATTTTAAAATTGTTAATTTTTCTAATTTAATTTTAAAATTGTTGTAGTACTTGTCTTAAGATTTTGAATACATTGAAGTTTATACATTGATCATTATCAATTTCATACTAAAGAAAAATAAAGGTACCTAAACCTTGTTTATAGGTTCGATCATAAGTAAAACTTGAATGATAAATCTTTCTAAATGTCAGTGTCTTCAATAATATAATTTTTGTCTATATCGAAGAAAAATAGTAAGATAAGGTGCGGTAAACTTCAATAATTTAATACAAACTTGTGACCACTTCCAGTTATCCAACGTCCATTGTAACTTATAATATAAACATCACAGTTAGAGAACTCTTCGACGAGAGGAATCGTTCGCTTTTATCTCGAAGTTCAATCAATCTCCTCTTCAAGAATTCTGACGCGAGTAATTTCACCGGATTCATATTTAACAAGATTGATTAAAGATATTTCACAGTCTCTGAGAATAAGGTTCAAAATCCAAGTGTCCAGAGCTCTTCTTTTTTTTTTTTATATGAGGGTTTAGAGTTGTATCGACTACGAAGTATTTAGCGACGTGCTGGAATTTTCTCTTTATAACTGGTCTAGTAGTTGGGTCTCCTTTGGGTAGTTGATAACGTTTTCTTGTTGTTTCCAGAGCTCTTCTTTATACTTGAAGTCTGATATTTATACTATATACTTCAAGTCTGATATTTATACTCTTTATAACTGGTCTAGTAGTTGGGTCTCCTTTAGATAGTTGATAACGTTTTCTTGTTGTTTCCAGAGCTCTTCTTTATACTTGAAGTCTGATATTTATACTATATACTTCAAGTCTGATATTTATACTATATACTTCAAGTCTGATATTTATACTATATACTTGAAATCTGATATTTATACTCTTTATAACTGGTCTAGTAGTTGGGTCTCCTTTAGGTAGTTTGATAACGTTTTTTTGTTGTTTCCAGAGCTCTTCTTTATACTTGAAGTCTGATATTTATACTATATACTTCAAGTCTGATATTTATACTATATACTTGAAGTCTGATATTTATACTATATACTTGAAGTCTGATATTTATACTATATAATTGAAATCTGATATTTATACTCTTTATAACTGGTCTAGTAGTTGGGTCTCCTTTAGGTAGTTGATAACGTTATTTTGTTGTTTCCAGAGCTCTTCTTTATACTTGAAGTCTGATATTTATACTATATACTTCAAGTCTGATATTTATACTATA